ATAATAATAATAATAATAATAATAATAATAAAATAATAATAATAATATTATTATTATTGTTATTGTTATTACTATTACTATTAATGTTAATAAAAATATTAATAGTAGTAATGGCAGTAACAGTACTGTTACTCAAACATCACGTTTTTTAACGTCAAGGGAGGTACAGTACAACTGTAACTGATTTATGTAATTATAATGTCTTGAAAAGTTGTGCTACTGTTTTTTTTTCTTTTTATGGTAACATAAAATAAGAGTACTCAAGCGCACAAAAAGATAGGTATTTTTAGCTGGAATGTAGCTCAGAATTTATTACCTGTCAATAGGCGACTCTTTCTTATAGCTGAAGGCTTGTAGTCGATAGGCAAATAAGCAAGAGAAAACTGAATAACTATAAGTGTATAAATAGTTGTGAGCAAGAAGTTAAGGAAGTTAAGGCGAAGAAAGGAAGGATATATCAATCAACAGTAATCCTTTTTTTATCTTTTGCTGTCCTTAGTGAATTGTTTAGCAATAAAAAATGAGGAACGAAAATCAACAAACTTTTTTATTCTTTTATGATATTATAGGCGATAAGTATTGGTCGGCAAAAAAAAGGCTGTTTCTTGAAGTTCTTTTCTACTGACTTCAATGCGTTTGCCGCTAGCAATGCTTATTGCGTAATTGATTTATGTTTATTGTAACAAATCAAATCAAATCAACAAAAAATTTAAGGCCAAAACATATGCGCTACAACCTACAAGCAGACAACTATCATTGTTTATCTTTTTATTTTTGTTTTTCTAAGTTTCTTTTTTCTTTCAATATCGGTTGCCCAATTGCAACTTTTTTTGGTTTTTTGGCTCTGAAATATCGGGAATATGACGGCATGAAAAGTTCAGATGTTTTTTCCTTTTTAGACGTCATATTTGAAGTATTTGTTTTCTTTAATGGAGACTATTTTACTGCAACAAAGATCTTCGGTTTCATTTGCTTTTTTTTTGTTAGTTCTAAGTTTTGGCAACAGCAAATCTGTTGTCAGACCTGTTGACCTTCGTTAATTACCATCAAATGTGTTAACAAATATTTTTAACACTCAATCACCAGAATTAACATATTGGGGTATCTTTCTTTGTTTCTTTTTTCTTTTTCGCGACAGTTATTTGTACTAGGTGGCTGAGTCTTTAAAGTTCTTTGATGGAGTTTCAGTCCCATTATAGCTTTAGTGTAAATTTTAATCTTTCTTTTTAGCCAAGTGATTGTTACCGTTTTTTGGATAAAGATACTGCTTTTGAGCTTGCATGAATGTAGGAAAAACTTTTTTATAAAAAGTGTTCTTTCTTTAATTTTTTGCAGAGAATTTTCCATTTCCTTTTCGGTGCCTGTTTTCTAATAATGGTCGAGTTTATGCCATTTTCTAAAAAAAAAAAAAAAAGCATTTTTATAAGGAAATCTTTAATTTTTTTTTCTTTTTTGTTTAAAATAGAATGAGCATTTTGGTAAAGTTTCTTTTAATTGTGATCCTAAAAAAGTAAATTCTTTTGACGGTAGCAAATAAACTAGATTTCACCCAACTGTAATTGGCCAGTGAAAATTGAACATAATTTTCTGTCGATCACGGATAATTATGGTGCTTAGAGAGTAAGGCTGCTCGTAAAAAAAATTATATTTTACATACACCAGTATAGTTGGCAAATAAATTTTTTCTTCATTTTTTTTTTTTTATTGTTACAGTAGGCAGTGAACTGTTTTTGTGAGGGCGAGAGAGAAGGAGGAATAGAGCTATCAGAAGGGAAGAAAGAGGCGGGGGAATGGTAAGGATTTTTTATTTACAACCTAAATGTCAGTGACAACAAAAGCAAAAGAATAAGAGTTGAAGGAATAAAGAACTCCTGTAGGGAAAACTAATAACAGCCTTTCTAGATATTGTTGTTTGTTAAAAATAAGGGAGTAAATAAAATAGAAGGATTTGAAAAATATCTATTCAGCTTATCTGTTGAAAACTCATTTATATGAATAGAAGTTCTACGCCAAACACTTGAATCATTTGGCTACTGACAATTACAATTTGAAAGGAAAAATTAATGACAGAAGCTTTTCCTGAGAGATCGTTCCTTGAAAAAATTTGTTTGTTAATTTAGGTTACGTCTTGTAAATTCACTGTTTTTCTTTTATCTTACATCAATTTTTTCTTTTTTCATTTTTATTTGAGTGTTCAAAAAGAGTAAGCAATAGTTATTTTATTATTTTTGACTTTTTCACAAGAACTAAAAGAAGTGTGAAACTGGAACTTTACTAGTAGTCTGTAGATTAGTAGTAATTCATACAGGCAGAGATCATCAAAAATAATTGGACTTGTTATTGATATTTCTTAATTTATAATTGCCATAACACTCAACTATATCTTTTACTAAGAATTTTTGAATTTGTAATTTGTTTTTATTTAGGCAAATGGCTTAAAGCAAGTTAAACGCGCGTTCCTAACCGTTTAACAGATATAATTATCAGTAGTTCTTCTTACAGTCAATTATTAACTATTAGTTTTCATTTATTCACCATGTCTATTCAACATTCTGCAGAATTAGCAGTAGGTGCGCATAATGTTGGCACAGCTTCAAAGAATTAGCAGTAATTACTGTTAAAATAAAGCAAATACTGTAGAAAATAGCAATGGTGTTGAAGTCAGCTGTTACAGTTTTTTCACATTATTGGTGAGCAATTTTTTTAATCTTTTATGCTTGAATTGTTAATTATCAATCAACAATCTGTAGTATTAGTAGACTTTGTTGATAGGTGATAGCGATCAGTGAGTTAAGCTGTAAGATTAAAATTTTGAGTTGTTAACTGGTAATATTTGTCGACTTAAGTAAGTCAGCGACAGCGCTATCTTACTTCTGAATTATAACGAGATCAATATTTGCAGGAGGGCGAAGGAACGTCGAGACGGTAAACGACAAAAGCGTGTGGTATCGTAAACACGGAAGACATTACTGGCGGGTTATTTTTTACATTTCATTTTCTTTCTAGATTTTTTCTTCCGGAAAAAATTATTATTATTATTTTTTTTTGTTGTTGTATATTTGTGTTTTTGTGTTTTTTAACTGTTTATTTAAGTTGTCAGGCGGGAAAACGTTGCAAAAAAACTTTTTGAACTACTTTTCTCTAATTCACTTTTTTTTAAAATAAATAATTATTTGGTTTTATTGTGTTTATTCAAATTCTTTATTGTTGTTGTTATTTTTAATAATGGTGGTAATAATAATGGTAATAATAACTTTTTTTACTGTATGCAATCAACAGCTGGAAAGCTAATATGTTTCACTGCCATTTGATGACAGACGGTATATAAAGTGCTTTTTATTAAATTAAATTTGCTTCTGCTGTATTTGGCTCAGCTGAAAACGACACTTCAGGCGACATTCATTTTTCATTGTATTTTTTAAAGAGATGGGAGGTTATGTGTGTATATTTTTATGAGGTTTAATTGCAAATAAAAGATCGCTAAATACTGTCGTTGAAACAACTGGCTAATTAGGTTATTGGTTGGGAAGAAACTGAAAATTTTCGGCTTTTTTTATTTTTCAACAATTGTGAGTGTAAACAGTACTATTTTACCGCAGTCGTTGGTAATATATGCCTGGTGATTGATGGGTGTAAACAGAAGTAACATCAAAAACCAACAAAAATTGTTGGGACAGTAGTGGTTGGATTAATTAAAGGAAGAAGACTTGTTCGCGTCGAAGAAAAGTGAAAAAGACATTAGAGGATTTATTTGGCTAAATGACTTTTGATTACCTGGATGTTGATGTTAGTTCGCTGGGCCAATAGTTAGTCAAGATTCACCGTGGACTGTAGTGAAGGAGCGAAGAGCGAAAATGACGCATAGAGGAGAATCATAGGGTATACGGTAACTAGCGTCCGATGTTTTGCAATGGAGAACAGTCATTGAACAGATACACTGGTTTTTGCGCTCAACAAAACTTTCGTTGATGTCTCAGTCTACCGAAATGGTATAAGCATAAGCCACTGTAAAGGAGGCCAGACTGGCTTATAGTAGATAAAAAGCACTTTGCTCTCGAAACGCAATGGAGTCATTATGAGGCGTCCGTATTTTCATTCAGAACAAATCTTTTGTACACGGACAGTGAGATTATTGATTGCATCTTCTGATTTGAAACTATAGTTATGCAAACAAACCAATAGGGGCAGACAGTTCTGCATCATCTTCACCATTTGACCGTTTTAGGATTGTTACGATGCATATGGTACGTGCCTGTTTTTGTCAGTGTCTTTTTCATAGGATAACTTGTTTGCATGTACGTCTATCAAAAACAAGAGATGCAACTCATCACTTTAATCTTTATTAGTAATAACAACTGAAGGGAATATGCAGGTCCTATAAAAGCAACACTGCGAAAAAAGAGAAAAAATACTGCAGGATTCCACAGTAAAGCATGACTCGTAAAAAAGATGATGATGAAATAAGCGAATCAGAAGGCGACATTGTACACAAGACTTCACTAAAATGTAGTACTTCCGACGTACTGAACAGTTCAACGTAAACAAATATGATGGAAACAATAAAGGAAAAAAAAAAACAAGAAATTGCAGAAAAAGAAGCACAAAAACAAATAGACCGGCTTTAGAAGTTATAATCAAGAAAAACTTTTTAAGTAGTCATACTAAATGACGAGAAAAAGGTTGAGCAACGAATAAAATAAAGAAACATGGACAAAGTAAAGAAAAAAAGCCTAAGGAAGTCACCTTGAAATTTCCAAAAAAGCACTATTTTACTAAACAAATGTATTCCCTGACAAAACTACATTAAAATTAATGAAAACAAAACAAACACTGATCAAGTTAACAAACACAAAAGTTCAATAGTGAGCATCAGAAAAATCTCTTCCCCTAACCAGATATTTGCATAATAGATACTAAAAACCAGAAGCATTATTTAAGAGAAAGATTGCTGTTGAAAAATATGAATAATTTCAGAAGGGTCAAATAGAAAGGGATTAACATAAGCACGGTTTATGAGTTTTTTTTGTTTTTTTCCCCTTTGTCCTTTTTTAACATAACGTAGGCGCATAAAAAGGAACAAAAAAAGATGTTCTATTCACAGTAAAGTCTCAAAACGATATTGAAAAATGCGGATGTGATATAACATAAAAAACAGTCATCAGGCAGCTTCATTAGCCGAAATAAGAAAATCTAAAAATTGAGCTATGCAACCCTTTCGTAAAACAAAAGATACGCACTCTTCTTATCTATTTGTGGTTCCTTGACGGCCTGAAAAAGACAAAAAAATAATACAAAGTAAAACTAGTATTAAAGAAACCGCCTCAATGTTCATAATAAGACCCTTGCACTGCAATCTTACTACCAGCATCGAAACAGAAAAGCGAATTCTTCAACAAAACAGTAGAGGGTGAACACACTCCTGTAAAGATAGGAGTTAAATCCTGCTCCAAGAGCCAAGGTAAAAAGCCGGTTTAAATCTTTTAAAAACTCAGTTTTACCAGTGACCACTCAATAGCAGGAGCCAAAGCATGCGGTATCTAAGAGTGTAGAAAAACAACAGTAAATGATTTTTTTCAAGTCATCGTACAAGTAAAAAAGTGAAAAAATACCAGTTCAATCCCCTTAAAAATTAAAAATAATAAAAACACTGCTTCCAAAACTTACTCTTGGATTAAAATTTGTTGACTAGCTCTATTGCAGGTTCACAAAGAACAACAGACTAACATTCAGAACTTCATATTTCTAATTTTCACTTTCCCTATTTACCACAGTAATTTAAACTCCAAAGTTTGCTTCAGTTTTCTTTGAAACTTTTCTTCAAACAATCCTGTAATGATGTACGCTCAAATTTGCTAATTGGAAGAAGAGCATAAAAGGAAATACTATGATTTAAAGTAGAGGTAGTTCAATAAACTTTTTTTTTCTCATTTAAATGATCTAAAAAACTTTAAGTTATACTGTAGGATACGAGTCATAGCAAACTTTTGAGTTTCTTCTGGTGTAAAACAAAGAAACGACGTTCCCTCAAATCAAAAAACAAATTTTTTTGAGCATTCTATTGCACGTAATAAACATTGGCACTGAGAAATGAGAAATGAATTCGAATTGACCATTTTACGGCTTTTTTCCTGCGCATTTTTCCTCTAAGACAGCGCGACTTGGTGACTTTGTAAGAACAACCCCCCCAAAACAACAATTATCCTTCCAAAACCTGCTACTTTAAGATCTCCCGTTCCATAAAACACAGGGGTGTTTTGAGCTCACTACGCCTCACACCTCAATTTAAGGACTGGACTTCTCCGTAAAACTCCTTGCAGCTTAAATGAAATTATTTTAGTCATAGATTAAGACTCCAAATTCGCAAATTAATCCAGACGGCTTTCCATTTTACATTTGGAACAGAACTTCTTGGACCTTTCTAACTATTCTGAGTTCTTAAATTTTCAAAAATAACAGAAGAACGTTCCTATTCGGTAAGTGTCTATCATCCACGAGCAACTCCTTCTACCGCGTTAATTTTCATTCCCCAACCCGCAAACTTTTAGGTTACAACAAAGTAAGAGCAGCACCACGATAAAACAAAAGAAAAGCATTTTAGGATAGAAAGGTACAAATTTTTGCCTAATTGAGTAAAATTATTAGAAAAACATCACCAAATGGTTCAAAATATAATATAGCCAATTCGCAGAACTAACGCTATTAAAAAACAATTACGCAGTTTTT